ACACTTCCAGGAAAAAAGGGAAGACAATTTGAACAATATTTGGGTGAGAAGTGAAATGCTTTTAATAAAGTTACTAGTCAGCACTTCATCCTCTGAATAGATGTAAAACCTAAAGCACTGGTGTTCAGAGTCATTAAAACATTTCACTGAAATATGTTTTTTTTTTTCCTTGACCACTGCAATGGAAAACAACTATATTAATTAAAGTTATAGAGGACGATCTTTTATTTCCAGGTGGATCATCTAAATAAGTGGTCCTCCTAATTGTCAATCATTCTGGTGATGTGTTCACGTAAGGCCGTCTTACGTCCTCGTCGCGTTAGCTATCTTTTTCTGGACATGCACACTATCAGGTGAGCTACGGTTTCAGACAGTCATTGAAGCTCATCTTTCTTACCACGGTTCTTTGAAAATGGCCGAGGGTCATAAGAGAAAAAGTTTCTATGAAGTGGATGAGAAGAAAAGAAAGGCCTAAGAAGAGGCAGATACATCCCAGAATGCTTTGCACGGAGAAGTCTCCTTACAAAGCATTATGGGATTTGCTGTCACACCGGCACGCTGTCGCAGTAGGCTGCCGCTGTGGACCAACGGGGACGTGATCATCTGTCTTAACGGTCAGTTAACTGGGTCTCCGCTGTTTGTAGTGATTGAGGAATTTAGGGGTTAGGGAGGACATTTGGGCAAAGCAAGTTGTATGAGCTATGAGAACAGAAACTTTTAAACAGAACGTGCAAAAGGAGAAACAAACTTGTGTACACTCTCACATGTGCATTTTTTTAAAGTGGAGAGGGCGGGTCTTTCAAAAAAAAAAGAAAATCCTCCACAATACCTTTAAGAGAAGGCTATATGGCTGCAAGCAATTATCATTCAATTAGGTGGAAAACAGCAATAAACACTGAAATTATCTCAGGCCTTCCCCTTCAGTCCTTAACGGTGCAATTTACCTTAGAGTCATGCAGCCCACAGAGCAGAGCACTACTCAGGATTCAGATACTGGAACAGTGACGCATTTCAGCTTCCAAACAGTCAAGGTTTGCTGCTATTGGTTGTTCCGTCATACCAAGGCTCCAATCAATCGGCCAACACATCAGCAAACACAGAACTTTGTTTTGAGTTTAGCTAATATCATGCAGGAGCTTAGAAGTTTGTGACATCATTGTCAAGAGATGTTAAAAAAAAAGAAAAAAGATCAGTTTTAACAGAAATCATTGCTGGCACATGTTTGGTTCCCCTCCCTTTAGTACCTTGTAGCACCTCCATAGTGCAAATACACTTTGCAGCCTTCTGCTCACAAGGTTTGGCCATTGAGAGTATAAAGTTCACATTCTTTTCCTTCTATTCCTCTTTGCCCACTCATCCAGAGTTCAGAGTGTTTTTCTTCTTACCTTAAGCTCACTGTACAAGTTCTCTATAAGTGTTTCAAGAAAGTTGTTTTTTGGTCATTATGTGATGATCCTACCTGAATGTTTAAGTAAATCATGTTGCTGAGAAAACCAGTTCGGATACATTTTCCGCTCTCTGCCAGATTCCAACACCTTTTTTATTTAATTTTTATGTCTATATTGCAAAGCCTCCACGCAAGCACAGCTAAAGAAAAAATGCGCATAGTGTGAAAAAGTTAAACTAAGTGAGCAGCAGATGAAAGGGCGATGTAAATTGGTGTGTTTGGGATTTTGTTTTTTTAAATGAGATAAGCATTTTTTTTTTCAGCGGTTGCTTTGGAGTCTTCATCATTTTTTTATTTATGAATAAAGAAACCACATGGGGTCCCCTAAAGAATTATTAATTATTACAAAATGAATTGACTGAAGTTAAAAGATTTTGTCTTCAAAAGAAACTATTCTAAATAAAATCTACTGAATAATATGGCAAAATCCTTCGTCATCTTAACCGTCGACAGGCTGTAGCCATGTCCCGAATTCCTTGTTTTCCACCCAATTTTGTTGAAGATTGCATTTTTTCCCCCATTCTCTGGCTTTTTTTGTACCTGAAGCTCGTTTCCTGAACATACAACTGTACGATCAATCGGAAGCAGTTCCGCACAAATATATCGCAATATAATATATCTGACGAAATTTTTTTTTATAAACTTTTTTCTTTTTTTTAAATAATTAAATAATATTTTGAATGCCACAATAATCACATTTAACCAATTTCAATGCCAATTTAGGATTTAATTAAAAAAAAATAATAATTTAATTAATTTCAATGATTTTCAATAACCCGCAGAAACCCTTATATATATATATATATATATATATTAGTGCTGTCAATCGATTAAATTTTTTTAATCGCGATTAATCGCATCAATGCCTGAGTTAACTCGCGATTAATCGCATTTTAATCGCACATTTTTTTCCTGATTGAAAATCATTTAAATACTCTCGATGACATACAAAAAAATACATACAGGCTAGGTTTGTGCCAATGTTCTTTTTTTAAAATGAAAACAGGTCACAGATACTGATTTATGCCAAAAATAACAAATATGTAGCCAAAAAAAAGGCCCTGAAAACAGGCTGCTGTAAAAGACAGTCTTTACAGTTAATACAGTCTTTTGAACAAAGACAAGCATTTTACCCTACTGCTATAAAATGTAGTACAGTTAACATTAGATGTTAATTAACCAAGGTAATAATGAACAATTTTCAATCAATACATCAAAATCAATAGACCGACATCACTAGATGGTCTATGCTCTAGAAAGTTACTTTTCAGGCTCTTAACAAAAATGAGAACACACACACACACACACACACACACACACACACACACACACACACACACACACACACACACACCAAGAGTGCCGTAGCAGATTCCATTTCACCTCAGTAATCTGTTTTCTCAGCGTATTTGAGGTTGCTACTAGTTACCAGACACTCAACTTGTTTGTTGGTGGTGGGGCTTAAAGAAAAGGCACGAGCGCTACCCAGTGTATGAGCGTCTTTTTCCCTTGAGGAGGTCCGCTCTGGAAGCCTATGAGAAATGCATAGACTGGGGGAAAATAGCCCCGCCTTCCCGCAGGCTGCAGCGGGATGTACTTGGAAAATTGTACCATAAAACCACATAGCGTTAATCTCACGTTAAAAAAATTATCGCCGTTAAAATGGCCTCGCGTTAACGCGATAATAACGCGATAATTTTGACAGCACTAATATATATATATATATATATATATATATATATATATATATATATATATATATATATATATATATATATATATATATAAAAAGTTTTAGTGTCCCTTTGTTTAATTCTTTAAGGAACCTTTTGCTATCCGACCAAGAATCGATAAAATATTTGACAGATTAATCGATTTGCTATATAATCTTTAGTTGCAGCCCTAGTACATTCACAATGTTCTTTAAAGTCTGTTAAAGCAAACTTTAAAGCACAACATTGTAGCATATTTCAAGCAAAAAAAAAAAAATCATGAGTAGACAATCAGAACGAATTAAAAACCTGTTTCTTCATACGTTGTGCTGCATTAGCAAAGTAGGATTTGGGCTTTTACGTCGTAGGATTAAGCATTTCCACTAGGTAAGAAAAAAAAAATTACATAATTTCCCCTTTTCAAACTTTTATAGTGTTTACTTTATTTCTTCCTGTTAATTTATGTTTGATTTTATGTGAAACATTTTGCATGGAGAACCTTTCAAAATTTATTTTGTTTGCATCATGTGAAGGGAGATCATTTCTAAGAAAGCCTATTTACGTTTGTGAAGAAATTACGACCAAAATTCACATCACCAACTTTAACTTTGTCATTTATCGAGTGGGGATCAGATGCTGCTGCCTTGTTACAGTTGAACTGCGTAAGAAAACAACGTCATCAGCGTAACACTAAAACCTTTTATGTCTGCAATTCCATGACTGTAAATCTCCACTAGTTTAACAAGGTGCTGATGCCGACAGAAATACAACACTGGAACCTAAAACAGTAAGGGTGGTATAAAGAAAACGCTAATCAATTCAGTCATCTGTAGAGTTCTCCCGGGAACTTTTCCTTCTCTTAGGAATCCTAACTAGGGCTGCAACTGATGATTATTTTGCAGATCGATTAATCTCTTGATTATTTTTCGATTAATCAATGAATATTCGGTTAATGATAAACAAAAAGAAGATTTTTTACAGAATAAAACCAGATTGATAGATGAAAAGGTTTTTCATCTAAATGCAAAATGTTTATATATATATATATATATATATATATATATATATATATATATATATATATATATTTTTTTTTTTTTTTTGCTAAATAAAACAAGACAGGAACGGTTTTTCTTCACAAAACTTTTTTGGGAACGTCATTGAACAGCGCTGACGACCCGGTGAGTAGCATATTTAAAAAAAAGAACGTTTAAGGTTGTTTTAAGGACATTATCGGACATGCACTATGGAAGCCATTCTGAAGCAGCCAGGGGGGGATTCTGCATGAGCCAAATAGCAGAGACAGGACCAATTGTCAAAGTTTTGGTGTCGATCATTCGATTTCATCCTGGACACTACAGAAAACGGGCTAAAAGTGTTAAAAACCGGAATTTTCCTTTAAGCCATATATTCTTCTTTAACTTACAATAAACCCATTTTTATTTCAGAAAACTTTGGCAAAAAGTGAGCTACTATAACCCAAAATAGTATCCTAGTTTCACAACATAAGTTGGGTGTGTTTAAACCTGCTGACACCAAACAAAAATCTAACTTTACAGCTAGCTTTGATGGCAGAGCAAAGGTCAAGCTGGGATTCAGCATAAAAGCAAAAATCCCTCTGCTCTGTGGACCAGCAGTTGGACTTTTATGGAGAACAAATCTCTGAGGGGGCCGTGCTCAGATAGTTCCCCTAATTTATCCAACTTCGTGTTTTGAGCTGCATAAACAAAGCCTTAGCTGATGTGAGGTGGATGTGCACACAGTCACATCCACTATCAGCCAAAATGTGACACAGAGATAAACTGCAGCACTTCTAGCCGTCTGCACGACAATGAACTGACCTCAAGCTCCGTCTCACATCTGTTGATATCATCCGTGGATTGGTTTAGCTTTTCCAGCTCCCCCTAAAAGAGAAAAGAGAGTTTAAAAAAACAGCAAAAAGCAAACCAATTTAAATACCTGGAAGTCGACAAAATAAACACAAAAGACAGAAGTAGTGACGTCTAACATAAAACACAATAATGGGTATTGATAAAACAACAAAGAGTGGCTGAAGCAGAGAGATTGTTTGAACTCACTGCAAAATAATCATATAAATTAAGTTGGTTATTGTTGGTATTATTATATGTTGATATTCCATCTCTGTTTAACTGAGTAAACAGAACCTGAGCTACATACCTTCACCGATTAGGCTTTCTTAATTGATACTGATATCTTGTTTTTCCTGACTTTAAATCCCTAAAGAAGGAAGTCCATGCACCAAATCCTTTTAAAGGGAGAAGTTTAAAAAAATAAATACAAATAAATACCCAAGTTTTTATGGCAAGTCCCTTTATTTGATCCTTTAGCAAAACCCCAAAAATTCGTTCAGGTAAATGCTGTTATTTTATGTAACCAAAGACCAGAAATGGTGAGAGTTCTTCTTTTTAATGCATTTCATCAAGAAAATATTTCTTATTTTTCAGTTTTTAAAAAAAGCAGATCAGCAACCAGAACCATCCATCCATTTTCCGTCAAGCTTATCCCAGTTGGGGTCACGAGGGGTGCTGGTGCCTGTTGGACTGTGGGAGGAAGCCGGAGTACCCGGAGAGAACACACGCATGCACAGGGAGAACATGCAAACTCCATGCAGAAAGACCCAGAGCCAGGAATCAAACCCGGAACCTTCTGCAAGGCAGCAGTGCTACCCAATGCCGCACAGAGCAGCCTGCAACCAGAACCATTCAATGGAAAACTATCTGATACCATATTTTATCAGACTTTTAATCGGATATAAAATTCCTCCTTCAGACCAGTTATTAGAAAGGTTCATAGATGTCCCCATGACTGATGCAATGCAAAAGTTCTAAAGAAAGATAATCATAAAAAAAACAATTCAATACAATCTAAAATAAGCCATTTCTAAAACATGGAATTGGAGCTTTCATCTATTTCAATTGGAGCACCATCTCAGTCTATACTGTGCTGTGTTTCTGGTTGGCTATATCTGCATTTCAAATATATTTGTTTTCTTTTTCTTTCTTCTGGTTTTATTGTCCGTTTGTGACTTTTATATAAATTGTTTTGTGCTTCATTTTTTGTGCAGCCCTTTGTTCATCTTCTATGTTGTTTTTAAAATGCTCTAGAAATAAATTGCTATGGTATGTTACCATCAGAGAGACTACAGCAGCCATATTTGGCTGCAACTGTTTTTTGTTTGTTTTTTTTTTTTGCATATGATGCTACTTACATTCCCCCTTTTCTTAAAAATAGCTTTCCATTTACTATTCCAAGTTACAGTTTGAAAAAATAGCAAGAACATGGAATATCAAACATGATCTCTTTTGTTAAAATCAAATTTATTTTCTCTCATAATAGTCAGTTTCCCATGCTCTCACCTACTTAGCTGCATGTGTGCAGTGCATCAATATAAAGACACAGAGGACGAACAGCCACTCATTCCTGGGGTTGGAGACCAGTTAACCTTAGATTGATGTTTTTGGAGTTTAGGGGAAGCTGCAGCACCCAAAGAGAAATCATTCAAGCAGAACCTGCAAACTCCAGTTCTGTATTGAACCCAGAACCTTCCTGTTGTCCCCTTCCTGCCCAGTGGGACCACATTAGTAAAACACATTTTTAGGTTTTTCTCTTCCTTTAAAAGCACTAATTGCAAAATGTAAAACTTTAGACCCCTTCAGTTCAAAATAGGTACTTTCTAACAATTGTGACTATTTTATTTAGATATAGGAAGTGGTCTGTGTGTCTTTTTACCAATACTGTTGATCTTTAATGCATTTCTTAAAGTTTGCCTACAAAATATTCTATCTCTTAAAAAAATAACATTCGAGCTCAGGTTATCTTGAGCTATTTCTACAGTTATGCTGCTATAGGCTTAGACTGCTGGAGGACATAGGGACCCCTATTTCATCATTCTGTTTCATTCCATCTCTATTCTCCCACTCTGCAGAATCTATTAGTTAAATCTCTAACGTTATGCTCTCTCTGAATTGAATTGAGCTAAACAAAAAATGTATGTCTATTCCACATAATTGAACACATAATTAAGGTGATTCAGAGGTTGATTTAAGGTGGACTCTGCAGCTGCTGCAGGGTCAGAGGTGGCAGGCCAACAATGAGCAAATGCAACACAAAGCAAAGGAAGTGAAGATGATATACCTGTATTCTGGGGTCCACCTCCTCATCTTCATAGTCAGCCTCCTCCTCTGACCTGGGCTCCCTGTCTGATGGGTCCATGTTGGAGGAGGAGAGATGCCACAGCCGAACAAAGGGTCGTTGGAACCAGCAGAGACACTACAGGCTCATCTGTCTCAGCAGCAAACACCGGTTCAGATGTTCAACTTTAGCCTAAAATGAACCATTTCCACAGCGGAACATCTTCGTTTCTGTCGGTCTGACCACGCAGCGGATCTCCGAGCTCTGCTCTGATCTCCTTCAGTCAGCGATGAGATACAAGAGAGGAGCTCAGCTGCAGACCAGGACCGCCCCTTCAGCGAGGCAGCGGAATGTATGACGGGTGATCAGTGCCTCTCAGTGCTGAAACACTGACAGTGGACTGTATGATGGGTGATCAGTGCCTCGCAGAGCTTAAACGCTGACAGTGGACTGTATGATGAGTGATCAGTGCCTCTCAGAGCTGAAACACTGACAGTGGACTGTATGATGGGTAATCAGTGCCTCTCAGAGTTGAAACACTGACAATGTAATCACTATCCTATCCAATGAAGTTATTTTAAATCCTTTTCCCAAATCTTTGAATATTTGCAGAGCAACTCCTTTGTAATTAGTTTATTTCCAGCCAACTCCTCAGTGAGGAAAGATAATAGAATAGAATAGAATAGAATAGAAATTAATACACACAATATCATCTACAGAGTTGAACATACCTGTTTCAGACAACATTTGGCCAGTGTCAACTTTTCAGAGTTCATTTTACTCATATTAGTTACAGGACCTCTCAGACTGGGGGTTAATCGAGAGCATGAATTTTTTTACTGATCATTAACTACAACACTTGAGCAGATTTACACCCAATATAGTATTAAATACACTATTTAGAGTAAAATAGGTTGATTCTGAATTTATCACACCCATTTCTTTTTACTGTGTAGAATAGAATAGAATTGAATAGAGTAGAACAGAACAGCATAGAATGTCATTGAATTATTTTAGAAGGGAAACTTAGGTTTGCCAGGAGCAAACTGAAGAAAAAAAAAAACTGTATTCTAACAAAAAATAAGACAGTTGACAAATATAAAACATAAGGAAAGAAGCCATAATTGTTAGAAAAAGCATATTGAGATTGAAAAAAAATATGCAAAATATTTTCGATTTATATTTTTAGATTTCTATGTGAGGATGCAAAATGTTGCTGAATATTTGTGCATCAAAAATAACTACTCTGTGAAAATAAACTAAAATAACTAAACTGTGCAAATAATTGCAGGGACGTGAACAATGTTTTGAGTTTGAATTAGGAGGTATGATGTTAAAAAGTTGCTAAAGTGAATTAATCTGTCCACAAAAGAGCCAGACACATGGTCATCACATTATGTGGATACTTGTCCATATGCATATTAATGGATGTTTTAGGGGAGATTAAAAAACTAGTATATGTGTATAAAGACCTAGCAAAATACATTTTAAATATTATTGAATTTATAAAGTGCTGCTCCCTTTACGCACAATTAAAACCATCAAATGTAAGCCAAATGAGGGACTCACTAGTGGGATTTACTTTGCTGTTTTTGTTTAATTTTAGTCTTACATTTATTGTTGATGTTGTGCTCCACCTAGGAGGCTACAACAATAACAAACAGGCAACTTTGCATATCCAGGTGGAGAGATGAATATCTCCTGCACTCACTGAAGCCAGGAAAGATTGGTGCACAAAGACAGAGCTGTCTGTAAAAAAGCAGGCAGTGGTGGAGACAGCAAGTCATTAACATGATAATAAAAAACCTAAAGGATAAAAGAGACGCCAAAGTTTCCAGCAACACCTTATAGATATTTTTTTTTTAAGTAATAGTTCAACAAAGTCACTAAGTTGGCTGCACTGTGGCCAAAAAAAGGACACTGATAATGAAAACTGCTGTGCTAATGACTAACCTTAGTATATTGCTTAGCTACCGCGACCCAGAGGTTCATATTTTTTTAGTTAGAGGGTGTTTAATGTTTTTTACTAATTCAACCTTTAGTTTCACACGTTTAAACTTTTAAACCTTTATTTTCTTCTCTTTTGCAACCCTTCTACATCGCAATATAGACAACATCTACATAAAACTTTGTTTGGTGAATTAAAATTCTTTCATGTGACCTCCCTGGGATTAACAACGTCATGTGACAACGTAAGGATGTTCAGGTGACACCAATCATTATGGAAATGCAATCAAAGCCCTTTTATCTTACCAACAACTTCCTATTTTCATTATGATTAAAATATATAGTTTATAACAATTTCCAAAGCACTAGGTAAAAAAAAAAAAAAGTATTTTACTTATAGTCCAAAATGAATGAGTGCTACTCATTATTTAATGATCAGGGTATAAAATAGCAACTAATTCTCTCATCAATCCTTCTAAAAGATGGTTATTTCTTTCTGCAGTATTTGTTGTCTTTCCTTTTTTTTTAATAATTGTCATTTTTTCATTGAATTACATGTAACTCTTCCATTATTTTAGAAGAATCTTATCTTTAGGCCTAAAATACAATTTAATCTAGTTTTTCTTTGCTAATGTGTTATTCATTTTAATTATTATATATCTTTAATATTCTTATTTGTTTGTTTTTGCACCGACAAATTAACAGCATTAGGATTAATAGAGAAAGCATTTTAAATGACCTTAATATAATTGTATAGGGAGAAATCATGTCGACGTTTGGCTTACTATGCTCTATTTTTAAAGACTATTGACATATTAACTGAAAGGGCAAGCAAAATAAACACAATCCTAACAAAACCAAATATTATATATATTATATATATATTAATAGTATATAGAAGGATTCAAGATTCCAAAAGAAGTGGACCTCATGTTTACACTGGAGCATAACCCTTTCATATTTATCTTTTATTCTCTGTGTACATCAGAGGAAGTAGCACTGAGTGTTCAGAGACTGAAAGACAGGAGCCGGAGGTGACTTTTTTACAGGTTGCATAACTAATATCATATCCCTGAGCAGCTCAAGGGCAGATACTAATGGATCAGCTCAAACAATCTGAAAAAGGGCTCAGCGCAGCTATAAGGACGGTCCACCACCTTATCTATGCAATTTGTTTTCAATCAACCATAGCACGATATTTACCTCATAAATCTGTGTGTCGCTTATAGTTATGAGTGTTATGAGGTGGTAGTGCTCCTCCCTCTCCCTCCAATGTTTGTTTTAACCCATCATAAAGAGCATTCCATTATAATCCAATCAAATGCATCTTTTTTCCCCCCTATGTTTTCGATTCTAATGGATCAAGTTTATGCTGTTAATGTACAATATGGGCAATTTAGCTTGAAATCTTAATCTAAATGTGACTTTTTTCCATTAGAAACAATTAGATATTAAAATTATTATTCTAAATGGGTTATAACAGACACTAGCATAATTTTATTTTACACGATTTGAATCATTACAAAGCAAATTTGCAATATTTTCATATAAAGTCCAATAATAGGAAACTGATTTAACTCAAATGAGTTTTCTTATTACACAAATGCAAATAAGATCAAGGTTCAAGGGGCATGCTTAGAGTTTAATTTGCATGTGCATTTGATAAACCCGACCTTCTGACCAAGATGTGGGTTATTAGTGAGACAGTGAGTGGGTGGATGTTCATAAAGAGACTGAAACATACGACTCTGTGCACAGTCAGTTGCTGCCAACTCTCTGTCGTACACAATGAAGACTAATAGAGAATAAAATAACCTCTGGAGCCTGAGCAATATCTCTATATTTTGCGCAGTGCAGGATTTCGGTTATCTGTCTGAATTACAAGATATGTCAAGTGATTTAGAGAGGGTAGAACAGTCAGCATTGTACTAACGCTGCTCATACAGAGTCACCAAATAAAGAACCTTTGAACAGAACAGTCAAAAAAAGCTCTATAGTGTTAGGATATAACAATACAGCTCATTATCTATCTATCTAGACTTAGATAGACTTTATTGTCATTTTGAACACAGAGTTTATACAAAACGAAATTTCGTTAAGTACAGCTCCAGACATTTCCATTTCTAAAACGCAGCAGTGATAAAATGTGAACATGGTAATCAAATGTAAACATAAGACTGGTGATGATTTACAGTTTTCCAATATTCAGCACTTTTTTTTGGCTTTTTTTTAACCCCATTTTATACAGCATTCAGCTGTCTGTTGGCAGTGGGGAAGAAACTGTTTTGGAATCTGCTGGACCTGCATCAGATGCTTCGAAGCCTCTTTCCTGCAGGGGAGAACTGCAGGAAGAACCGTCCATGGTGGGGGTGTGAGGGGTCATTGATGATGTTATTGGCTTGGGACGCACAGCTCTGTGAAGAAAGTCTTTTCATCTATCTATCTATCTATCTATCTATCTATCTATCTATCTATCTATCTATCTATCTATCTATCTATCTATCTATCTATCTATCTATCTATCTACACCCTTAAAGCAATGCGTTGTATGTTCTATAATAGAAGAGAATCTTTCATTTTTGTTCAGAGTGAGAAGCCCTGGAGGAGAATTTGAGCTAAAAGGTTAAACTGAGAAATGAACTGCTGAGTAAGTTGCACATACCAGTCAGACAGTGGTGGCTTTCACAGCTGAAGAAAAGCTGATTGTTTGCTGTTTAACTTAATTAGTTTTCACTCTCCTGGGACAGTTGTTAAAGTGGCTCTGATAAGATCACTGACTAAATGCATCAATTGTTTGGGAAGAAAAAAAATATATGTGAGAGTAAAGTAGAAAAAAAAAAGAAAACAATAAGCATTCACTGGAAGCACTTTCACTCCCCCAATGCCCCTCTATCCTCATTTTCTTTTCTCTACCAAACACATTTTTCTGTTTGTATAGACTTGTATAATTCCCTTATCAAAACTGTTGATTAGTTCACATTCATTTGATATATACATCATTGCTAGATGTCCAGAATAGAAAAAATGACCATTTGCATCTAAACACTGTCCTTTGATTAGATGCATCATTTTCTAAAACCTCTCTGTCAAAGAAAACTTATTTCATGCAAACTATAGCCTTTAATCACAGTGGCTTGCTGTTGAGTCGGCCACATTAGAAGCTGCACTTGCTATTCATTTTGTAAAAATTTTAGACGTTTTCTACAAGGTAGTGCATGGAAGGAAAAGCCGTGCATGACTTTTATATTTGAATAAGAAAAATTAAACCTTGCATTGATTCTATAGCCAGCCAAGCAGCAACTAATACTTTAGGAGATCCCCTTTTGCTTCAACTAAAGCTTCAAAGCGTTTCAGGTTTTACAACTCTAACAGTTCTAAAGTCTTCTTTACCGTATATTTGAGATCCAAACAGTTCAAAGCCTGAATTTGTCTAAAATATGCTGCAATAGACCGTGGATTTTGTGTTGTAGTTCTGTCGTCCCTCTTCCCCGTGTTTTTTTTTTCTTTTTTACAGACTCAGCACATATTCTTTCAAGGCTGCCACTGAATTTGCTAATTCAATCTTTCAAACAATTATTTAAAAAGGCTCTATTCTTAATTAACAAAAGCATCCCACAGCATGGTACTGCCACCACCATATTTCATCCTTGGTATATTGCGGTCAGGTCTACCTGGTAGGTAAGTTTTTCTCCACCTATTCTGTTTTTCACTCTGCACCCTCTTATTCAAGTTTAGTTTCCTTACATGGTTTATGTAAAAGTACAAACATGACTTATTTTCAAATAATTTCTTTTTGACACTCCACAATATAAACAGTGAATCTCTGCTGCTTCTTTGAAACATTGGCCCCCAGGCTTTCTCAATATAATATATAATTGCCAGCCTGTATGATCCTGTCTTTGGTCTGCAGTCTTTTCCCTCTTTTTCAACCTTTTGATGAAGGACTTATGGTGTTAAATTAATACCATATAAAATTATTTTGTTAACCTTGTTATATACTATCCCATAACCTTTTCAGACAATCCTGGATTCGACTCTGAAGCGGGAGAAAAATCATGGACAGAGCACTTTTCTTAAAAGGTTTATAGAACAAATAATGAAAAGGTAACAGGATTGCCAGATTGTCAGGAAAAGAGTCTCTGAAGGGGAGAAAATGGATGTCACCTGATGAAGGAACTATTGGTTTGTAGTTTTCAGAGTGAATGATGGGTTACTGTTTTCAAGAGGTTGGCGACTTTAAGAAGGGAATTGGAAAAAAAATCGAAATCTAGATGAGCCAAAGTTATTAAGAGACATTGTGGAGGGTGTTTAGCCCTTGGGGCTGCAGACCCCTGGCCCTGGAATATAAAGCAATACAGCCCTCTGGTGGAAACAAACAACTAACACTATACTTCCACATGTTTGTTCTCCCTGCAGCTTTGAAGGCTCATGGGAAATCAGCTGAGTAGAGTAAAAATGTAAGATCAGGATTAATTCTTTTTCAATATTTCTAAATGTGCTATTTTAATTTAAATTGCACAATAAAATCCAATCATACCCATACATCGATTCAATAACTCTATTTATATTTCCAAATGGTGACATTTAAGTTATCCCAAACAATGAAACTGAGGAAAAGGGACTTTGTAAATAGTTGAAGTAGATGAACTCTGGTTGAAGTTTGTAATGGGTAGGAATATACAGTCTTACAAATTCCCTTGTGATTTTTGAACATGGAAGAAGAAAATGCAAGAATTAACTTGTTGATTCAGCAGAAGTTTTTGTTTATCTTTACCTTGAACTGTGCAACTGAGAAAGCGGAATTTAACATTGAAAACGAAAGCATCCACTTTAACTGGAAAGAACAAGGCTTAGAAGATAGCTAAACAGAGGATCACTGGGAGAGTAGATTTAAAGGAATAAAATGCAAAGAGTATACATGCATGGCTTGCTACAGAAATATAAATCTGTCCAGAAAAGATGCAAAGTCAAAAGTCTAGCAACAGGTCAATAGTGTCTTCTAAGAAAAAAAAACTCGGAGATCATGATCCTATTTGCAGAAATTGACGATTTTGAGTAGAGAAAATGTTTAAATGTGAATCATTGTTCATAGACCCATATGCAATGTCCATAATAAAAAAGTTTGGGTTAGTATGCTGGTGAAGAATTTCAGTCATCCAGGTCATAGTCATCCAAAAAAAGTTAAAAAACAAACAACTAGTCTTTTTTTCCCAAGTTTTAAGACGTTTCGCTTCCCATCCAGGAAGCTTTTTCAATTAAAAATTTGCCGGCCTAGTTAAAAGAGATTGATTTAAACTGAGATTTCCTCTCAGACATGCACATGATGAATGGAGTCAAACACCAGTGGTGCTCATTTGTTTTTCACAGATCCAATAGAACTTTTCCCTACAGGTGCCCGTAGACCAAGAGCTCATGCATGGAAGACTCTGATCAATGTAAACACAACTTTGGGAGAGACCGGTCCAAAATTTTGGTTTCGGGGTGTTTGATGCACTAGAAACAGAAAAGACAAAAACAAGCTGAATACATCAGTCTCACACACTCAGTGCTATTAAAAACCAGTCAGACAGAAGGATGTTCAGGCTGGCTGAGCTCACCTATATTTCAGCAGTCTTCCATTTACATCCTTCATGTTCCAACATGAGGTATAACTGTCTGTTTCAACATAGAGGCCGATCCAGATTTTTACCATTCCTCCAATGAAAGGTCTCTGCAGGAGAAAATCATTGGTGAGACACTTCGCTTCAATGGTTACGTCAAGCAAAACTATCGGATGGGGGGAAAAATGACAATAAAAATAATTTAAACCCTTTTAACCCATTTAGAAACTGACAAAAATACCTGTTCTGTTTCATCATTCAAAATCATAAGTTGAGCTCCTTTCGTCTCACAGTTTTGTTTGGCATATATCCAGGTGTTTGGCTCTGTAGAAAGCTGGTAGCAACTCGACATAAACCTCAGCCATCCCGGGGGACAACTTTGGCTTGTTACCTCTAAGAAATAAAAAATGACAAAAAATTAGGGAACATCAATAATAAGGTGCTGGGCCTTAAAGGAATAGTACACCCAAAACATGATTAGCCTTCATTTTCTACTCACCCCCATGCTGAACAACACTCTGGAGTACTTTTTTGATATCTCAAATGCATCTGGAGATCTGGGAGGCTTCTTGCTGTCTGCTGACATTCAAATAATGGAGGTCTATGGCGCCCGAGACAGAAAGGTCCATAAAAGTCCACAAAAAACGTGTCAATATTCCTCCATACTGCTCGTCCAATGTATTCCAAGTGTCCTGAGTGGGTAGCGTCCAGAATTTACTCGAAACGAAGTAATTTAGAATGTTTTTAGAGCATAAACAGTAGTGTATAGGATTTCCTGAAAGCGCGCACATGCGCGCTCCCGACGCTACGGAAGCCGGCAGACCAAACCAGCGCATTCAGCTCGGCAAAGAACTCATGCTCTTCCTCAACACTGAAGTCCTCAGACATTTTTCTTTCGTTGTTTCTTTCTTTGCACAGGTAAACAGCACATTTCTTCTTCTACGCTTGCATTATCGGCAGAGCAGACGCTGAATGCGCACTTTCATCTGGCTTGGTCTGCCGGCTTCCGTAGCGTCATGAACGCGCCCGCGCGCGCTTTCAGGAAATCCTATACACTACTGTTTATGCTCTAAAAACATTCTAAATGACTTCGTTTCGAGTAAATTCTGGATGCTACCCACTCAGGACACTTGGAATACATTGGACGAGCAGTATGGAGGAATATTGACACGTTTTTTGTGGACTTTTATGGACCTTTCTGCCTCGGGCACCATAGACCTCCATTATTTGAATGTCAGCAGACAGCAAGAAGCCTCCCAGATCTCCAGATGCATTTGAGATATCAAAAAAGTACTCCAGAGTGTTGTTCAGCATGGGGGTGAGTAGAAAATGAAGGCTAATCATGTTTTGGGTGTACTATTCCTTTAAAGCATGAACATTTTTTGTAGTTTAGAGATAAATATACCATATTTTCACGACCATAAGGCGCACTGTACTAAAAGGCGCAGTCTCAGTTATGTGTGCCTTTACTGTATTTAACACACACATAAGGCGCACCGGACTGTAGGGCACGCCGCACATTTTGAGCGGAAAAAAAAGACGTTTATATGTGCCTTATAGTCGTTAAAATACGGTACGCAGCAAAGAAGGTTTTGAATGTCATTGTAATTTTCTTTTTTGTTTCAAAAAACCTCTTTCCCAGTGAAATTAGCGGTTTTGGAACTTTTGTGAGAACGATATGTCTCCTTTAAAAATTTGGTTATGAAACCTAACTTACCTGTATTTAATCTTTTTTGAAGTTCTGATATCTGATTTTCTTTTTCCGCAAGTTTTTCTTCCAGGTTTTTGATTTGTATTTTCAGTAAATCCTTCTCTTGTTGTAACTGGCATTTCTCTTGACGCAGTTTTCCATTTTGTTCAGTGAGTTTAAGTTCAATTTGAATCAGGTCATTTTTCTCTTTAACTAGCTCATCTTTTTCTTTTTGAATTTGCTCCTTCCAGTAGAGAAGTTGATTTTTCTCTTGATTGAGCCTGCTATTTTCATTTTTAAGTAGCCTGTTTCTCTGCCTGAGTTTAGTCATCTTGTCTTCCAGTTTGACTTTATTTTGAAGGAGTTCTCTTTTTTCTTCTTTCAATTGCTGCACATTGTTGTGCAGCTCGATGTGACCTTGATGTAGTTGTTTGTTCTTCTCAAGCAATTCTTTTTTCTCCTGAAGCAGTTGGTCTATCTGTCCAAGATGTTGGTCTTCCTGTTTAAGAAGTTGATCTCTCTCTGATAAAACCTCTCGGATTTCTTCCAGCAAGGTGACATTGCACACTGAGACATTAAAGCCTTTCGAAGTTCCAACTGAAAAAGCGAAGAGATAAATGTTTATCTAGTTTAACTGAACAAATGGACTGATAAATTGGAACCTTTCTTGTCTAGAACACAATGAAAAAATTTTAAAGAACAGCATCATCATAACAACAATAAATAAACAGTAGTGGGCTTGGTGGAGACTAAGGGGAAATACAGGCATTGGGTCCCTTAACATTTCCATAAATAAATTTCCCATGGTTTTTAATAAAGCATGTAAAACGTTTATAGAACTGCCACATGACCTAAAATTATCATGGCAATGTATGACATTATAATGAGATAAGACTGACAAAGTTTCTTTTTATAACTAGAAAAAGCCTCATAATAATTTTAGAACATATGGCATTTCCACACAATTTGCTTTTACTAAACAGCAGTACGTCTGTTCTTCTATCTGTTAGCATCTCTGTTATGACTTTGAACTTAAGGGCACATTATGTATTAATAAAAACATTGGCTTAATAGTGTACTATGCACTCCAAAGACATTCAGATCTCTTCATGTATTTCAAATTCTGTCAAACAACCCAAATTTCAATACTTTACTATTGAGCTATCTGTACATTTTCCAAAGGATTTTAGTTTTGAATTTGCTTTATTTGAACATATTAATATGCTTCATTCTGAGATACTCAGTCTGTATTTTTAAGGTTTTAGGCTTAACACTTAATTCATTTTTAAAGCTAACAGTGCCACAGGTTATCCTGAGTTATCTCCATAGTTGCTGCTACAGGTTTAGGCTGCTAGAGGACATAGGGACCACTTTTCATCATTCTGCTTCATTCTATCTGTATTTTCCAATCATTAGTTAGTTAATTCAATGCCTTAATTTATGATCTCCCAAAAAAATTTTCATCACAGTATTTTCCCCTTGCTTGGGCCTGTTTGGCTGTGAGACCTTTCTGGAGGGGAAACATCTGCTGGGCTGTGGCCATCAACACCTCTGATTATAAATGGAGTTAGTCCTGTTTTTCTTCTATACATATTGGCTTAGCTTTTACTGTGACTAACTGAATGTACTCTCTTTCATCCTTTCTGTCATGAAAACTGGCTCAGAGCTGTCCGAGTGTTTATTTCCCAGACAGAGATGCCTACTGTTACTGTTACCTTCCATAAGTTATAATCTATTTATGGATCAGTGCTTCTATCTGATTTTTGAGTGTCTGATTCCTGCTCTCTAAATCCCCAGTCAGTCTTTATAGAGTAAATGCTCGGTGTGAGGGGCTGCTGCAGAGTTAACGACACAATGCAAGTGAATACTCTCATCCAGGAGCAAATCCTGCAAAGTCAAGGTCTCAATGCAATTTGCTTCATTTGCTTTAGATATAAAACCAACCTGACTGAATGATCTGATTAAACTTTCTCTGCAAATGTCTTTGAAATACCAAATTGATGCAATATAAATAAAGCAATTTAATGGAATTATCCTTGTGAAAAGTTCATCTTTGAAGTCATTTTAACTATTTTCAAGCCTTTAACCTTCTGCCAGCATTGCCCCATATTTTGTACACAGTATATATGTATCAGCTTCGACCAGCTTCTATACTGCTGAAGAAAGGAATGCCTTGGTATGAAGCTTCCACCACCATGTTTAATAACAGGGGTGCTACGTTGGGGGTAATATGCCAACACAGTGTGTTTTACAAGGCGCCCCCACTCTCCTTTTACGTTAAATGTTCTCCTTACCTTTCTTTGACGCTATATAATACTCTTCCAAGTTACAGATATGTTGAATAATTATGCTATTTTATTGTAATTTTTTTTTGTTATAGAGCCAACAGCAGTTTCTTAAGGGTTGGGTCTGTCTATTTTGGCATGTCAAAAGCTTTTATAGCACTAACACAAAGATACATGGAGAGGGCACCATCGCATTCATTTCTACAGAGAGCAAACTTTGTTTTCAAAGTTGGGATGGAGAAAACAACCCTAGATTGTAATGGAAACCAGGCACTGTTACCTAATGCTGCTGCTGTGAAAATGATTTGATATATGACACCAGGTTTCCAGAGTTCTGCTACTCACCAGATTGATACCAAAAGTAAGCATTGAGTATTGATTGTGTGACGCACAGCAGGAAAAAAAAGACTCCAATCAGCAGGTAGATTTTGGATTTTCCTGTAGGTAAAAAAAGCCACAGATGCATTAATTATAATGAAAACTAAAGTTATATTTTTTAGCTCTGTGTCTACACATCATCAGCTTTGCTTTGTTTGTAGTGCTGATAGATTAAGAAGCCATTGATCAGATATAAGAAGGTGTTCACTCTAAGAAGTTTATGGGTTTCATAGCCACATATTTTTCTAACTGATTTTATTTTGGCAGATCATGTAAAGCTGCCATGGATGTGCTTATCAATATGCATGAAATAGTAAATTCTGACCGACTGAAAATGCATTTGAAGAATTTAGTTAAAGCTAGGGTGACCATATTTTTATTAGGGAAAAACCAGGACACCTTGGGGTTGGGGGGTGGGGGTCTGGGTTGGCGTTTGGGATCTCTGTTCCCATGCATAGAGATGTCTATATCTACAGTTGATTTATTAAAAATGCTTTTCAGTAAAAGTCAACAGCAATAACTCCAATAACAGACGATAATTTTATTCAAAATGTTTTTGTTAAAAATGCTTAACAATTCCTGTAATGAATGAATAGCACAATGAAAGAAATCTAATCTCATCTAAACATCCCTCACTTAACAATAAAAGCTAACAATAACTCTCAACTCCCAATAACACATGATACTCAGCCTCAGCAATGAACGAAATAATGTCTATTCTGTAGGCTATTGGAAAAAAATAAATTAACAAATGAGCTAATTAACAAAAAATACCTCGTGTAGCAAAAATAACTCAAAATGTACCAAAAATCTTTACTTTCGGTGTCCAGGTGGCTTTTCAGATCCCTTGCACCTCCATTGGACACAGAGACATATGTGCCTGCTTTGCACAATGTGCACAAGGCCTCCAATGTGTCTCGATCCGGTCTGAAAGCGGGGAAACTCTTTTGTAAATCGTCGGTAAACATACATTTGCGATTTTGCATGTTGTTGGCGTACTGACAGCCACGCTATCTATATTCTGATTAAGAACAGGGCTGCCCGCACTGACGCGGCTCAGGGATTACGTCACACGCAGCGCCGTTCGCAGTGCCCTAGTGCCTGTAAATGTAATGGTCCAATTAAGGTAATTTAAAAAATCAGGACATTTCCTTACTTTCTAAAAAAAAAAACGGGACGCCCGGGACAGGACGTGAAATACGGACATGTCCCGGGAAATACGGACGTTTGGTCACCCTAGTTAAAGCCTCTGTTTCTCTGAAGCTAAACCTAACCCTCATCCTATTATAGCTGATGACTGGCTAGGATCCAGTTTGGGTTTCTTTTCTGCTTTGAGGAAAGCCCAGTTAGGATAACTCCATTGCTCTAGGATCCCTCTTGTTTGGGATTTCTGATTCTCCCTGGCATCCCTTTTGTTTGTAGGGACATTGCTCTCAGTGTCCTGATAACTACAAGCTTCTACGAACAAGCAGCCAAGGCCAAACTGTCTGGCAATGTATCGCATATATTGAATGAGGTGTTGCATTTTATTACATATGAACAGTCTAAAAGAAATAAAGGAGATAAAACTTCCTCCTTAAGCACCTGTGTTTGAGAGAGGACTATTAGAGGAAGCATTGTTACTGCAGACTTTCTTAAATGCTCTCAGTTAAAACCAATTAACTACAATGATAATCACATTACTTAGAACCTGTAGAGCAGGGGGAACCAATTAAAAATCAGCGGGGTTCAAATAAAGAAAATCAACAACCGGTAAAGGTCTGCAGACATTTTAATTATAATTAAAAATGTATTTAAACAGAATTTAAGATATAAAAAAAAATTGGATTTTGTTCATCAGTGTTATTCATTGAATTTAAATAAGAAAAAATTGTTAATCCATCCTATATATTTAGGAATTTTCAATAGCAATACTTGTGTTCAACACTTTAATGACATTTTAAATAATAAAAAAAAAAACATTCTTGTTAAAGAAATACTGAATAAATTCTTACCTGAATCCGTTGTCACCCTTTCCATCCTTCTGTCGGCTGGTGAATTCATATAATGACTTGTTTCCATTTTTCTTACTCTGATGGTCTCGACTAGGTGCTTAGAAGAAGTTCTGCCTAAAATTGTAGCCTGCAGTTTGCATCTTTTTATACCAGCTGATTACAGCGTAGGCGGAAAAATCCTAAAAATATATTCTGGAAATAAAGTGTGGTTCCCTGTAACATTACAAACCAAACACCTTCGTATTTCTTAAGAAGCATGGAGGAGTAGACTATTGTTTACAAGTTATACATTAATGTTTTCAGGTTAAACATGAAGAAATAACTTGGAAGATTATGCTGAATCTAGAGTAGTGCATAGACTCTCTCATTTGGAGTTGAAAGACTTACCCAAAACTTAACTGCAAAAGATGTTTGCCATACTTAAACTCTTTAATGTCTATGTAGAGACATACGTGACAACAGAAATGTTATTACACCTTAAACGCATCCTGTAGCCCACTGCATGCAAAGACTCTATGACTTCATGTCTATAACTGCTATTATAGGCTACTTCATTTCCTTTCAATTGTGGAAAAACTCTGAGTTATATCTGTTGTATCTCAAGACATCAGATCCACATTAAGTAAAATGTAAGAACAAAACAAAGAAAAAAAAATCATAGATAAAAAAGTTACCAGATGAGATAAAAAAATATGCATTGGTTCTAAAAAACATGTGACCTATGGAAGAGGCTGTTGGATTGTAACTGCACGAACTCATTATCATGAGCTTTTATGCCCAAAAGATATTGCTGTATCTTTATTACTTCAACCCCTTCTTTTAGATCCATAACTTGCTAGCACTAAAGAGTGGCGAGCTTGTTGGGTAATTTGGCATAAGACAAAAAAAAAAGTAAAAAAAACTAAATCAGACCAGAATTTAGCAATTTTTCGCACCTCATTTTGTTTGCTTGCGTTCATTACGTGAAGCCTTACAATTTTTCTAAATCTCCAAAAACTCTGATCATACATTATCTTTCAGGCTTCATCTATGGTGGTGCCGAGTACAGACAATCTATAGATTCCCTATACATGTTTCAAAAACATGGCTGTCGCTCATTGCATTCTGGGATGGCAGGCCCTAAAAAGCACCAAATAATTTGTTTATAATGGCCAACTTAGATAGAAAGGTATTATTAAGCATATAATTTAAAAGGTAAGAATTATTCCCTCTTTTGTTATTTTTTTTAAAACATAAAATGTGAGATCAAAATGTGAGTATTGTCTTATGAGGAGATTATGACATGGAAAATTTCAGTTTGTTCAACTTTTTACCTGTGTTTCTGCATCCACAGGTGACGTAGTTTCGATGTCCATATCTCATTTCTAATTAACAGAAAGACATGTCATGCAGTTTGTTTTCTTCACATATATTTCATGGAAAAATAACCAAGTTGCTTAATAGCATGGTTGCAACTTAACTCGGAGTGTAAATATTTACGAAAGTTTAGTTATGAATATGAGATAAAAGTGGGGATTTTTTCCCTCGAAAAAACAATGGATAAAACCAATTGGTGGATTTTTTGTTTTGTTTATGATGCAATCAGCCATTGAAAGTTAATAAAATGTTAGAAATTATTTGTTGGTAAATACTCAGATATAAGTATAGATGTATGCAATATATGCATATGATCTTGTTGTATTCTTATGTTACATACCAAAACCTACAGAAATTCCCCAAAAAAATTATAATTAGGAACAACAAATGAAATGCAGCCACTAAGTTGAAGTGCTTTGAAAAAGCTTTCCATGTGTTAGAAATAGATATAGAAAATGTTATGTGTGAGCTCTGTTATGTGTAAGAAGGTATGTTAAATTCCTCGTTAACTGTTTTGGAAACTGTGTGGGCCAAAGTTGATCTGTGAATATCCATCCACCATTTTCTGTTACCTTATATGGATTTAGTATTGATTCTGTGCAACTGCTAGACTGTGGAGACCAACATAACTGTCCAAGAGGGTGTAGCAGTGAGACAAATACATGAGAAAATCTAAGATCGTGCCCACCGCTGTTTATCAGAGCATTGGTCAGGCAGGCCTAAAAAGGTGGATGAACCTCTGCAATTCATGCTTATATCAATGATTTTGTTAAACATGACTGGAATAAATTCTGTTTATACTAAAAGATGTTTTCATTACCTTCTTTTTCACTTTCTAAGAAACATTCCCTCTTGGATCAAGAGCCAGCTGAGCAAACACATGTCTGCACTATTAACAGCCATGATGTTTTTTCCTAACTCATGACATGCTTCAATTTAGTTAAATGTAGTTTATTTATAAAGTGCCAATTCACCACACCTGTCATCTCAAAGCATTTGGGAGACAGTTCAATCAGATCATAAAGTCAGATTTTCTATCTAAGGAAAATTGCATGGAGTCATTGACTTGCAGGACATGCTCCTCCTGAATGACCATGTGGTGATTGTAGCTATATACACATGTGCTTACATTTTGATGTTGACACTACAGCAATCCCTATAGAACAGGAATGTCAGAGGGTAGGGGGTCCTGCACCTTTTAGGTGCGCCTCTGCTTTAGCACACCTGAATCAAGCAATTAGGTAATTTGCAGGACTCCAGAGAACTTGACTTAAACTGAGGAGGTTAATTAAGCTGTTTCATTCAGGTGCGCCATGGGGATATCTATAAGATGCAGAAGGCCGGGCCTCAAAGATTTGAGTTTGACATCACTGCTGTGGAGTCAACGACAATGGTTAATACCTGTTTTGTTTTTGTTTTTTAAATGTGACCAGCAGGGGGAGGTGTGCTCACATGAAGCTTCCAAAAAATGAACCCCTTGGCTGGAAGCATCTATGCTTCATGAAGCTCTAACCACTTAGCAGACAAATTTATGCAGATTTTCTTTTTCATTTCGTGTTTTTCAGTGCATTTCTCTTCATATAAGCCTAATGTAATCTTACAACTCGGAACACAATATCACTGACTTGAAAATTGTCTGAACACTTTTTAAAATAGACATTTTTATTTCCCTGCCACACAAAATATTTCTATGTCCTGGTTTTAGATTGTATTCTGTTTTACTATTGAAATGTTAAATGCCTTGTCATCAGGGTCTAAAGTTTACTTCTTTGCCCACCAGCCACTGTGGCCACAGAGGTTTTATACCAGGCCTAATTTTGTTAAGCGACTCTGAGAATGATTTAGACTGTTTTCGGCACGTGTACAGATTACATATAAGTGTGTTTGCTGGTTATAAATGACTTAATCTCATTCATGACAAGAGCTACAGGACATAATTACAACCATTTTCTGAACTGATGTGATAGAAAATTACAGAAATACAAACAGCCATCATCTCACTGACTGGTCCAGCTTTATATCTTAACTATATAACTGACTATTTCGCTACTGTTTGCATCCAAGTTATATTGTTTTTGATTTTTAGATTACATCAATGTAAAATTTTAACTTTTTACATATTATAAATGTATTTTCATTTTCAAGTCAAGTCTAATATTTTGAATAACAATTAGTTAAATAACAATGTCGTAATTGACAGAATCCAAACCATATTTCCAGGGGAAAAACCATAATCTCAGAAGGGATGGGGACACATTTTCAGTGATTTATCAGTCTCTCACATTCAATTTTACCTTTCCTGTGAAAACCTTTTCATAATATCTGCCTGGTTTCTCCCTGCAATAGATATTCTCAGGAAGTTTTAATGTCTCCTTACCTGTAAAGATCTAACATCATTCTCCCTGCTGCTGGCCTCTGGTCCATCTCCACTCTGATTCTGCTCACTCTATTATGGAAATAAACATAAAAAAATGTGGAAAGCAAAATTTTGAAATATAATTAGGAAGAGAACTATTAAAAAGTCCTGTGTCATTTCCATTTAAATTAAATGTGATGCCATAGATATTTTTTAATTTCTTCCCTGACTCTCCTCTCCCTGTTGTGACCAAAATATGTATTTTAAAAATGTGAAGAGCAATTGGAGCACACAGTCTGTTTAGAAATGAAAGAGGATTGGGTTTATGCCAAGAATAAAACTAACTAGCTAATGTCATAGAGGTAACAACCGTATAAATTATTACTAACTACTTAACATATTGCTAAATTGGCATGTTTGACCGTTTCATCATTTAACTAACTAGTCTAATTAGCAAAAAAAAAAAAAAAAACACAGTTTACTCGGTTTGTTTGGAGAAAACTACAAAGGTTTTGTTTTTTTGCTGGTGGTTTACTAAACAACCAGAAGCTCACGTTCAGCTCTTCTCAGCACAAAGTCTCGTGTCGAACTTCTACGTCTGCATGTGTGCTCATGGTGCTTTAAAAGGCAGCTCAGAAAAATAATGTCTTGCACACTAATAAAGGGTTTAACTGTTATAAAAGCGTTTGCACTTTTGAGCATACTTCGTTGGGATGTCCCAAAACAGCTTTTTCATTTCTGATACATTAACGATAATGCAGCTTTTAGTATTGACTGATACTGATATTGACCAGATATAATATCAACCTGAATCACAAATATTTTTATTAATATTAATAATTGAACTTTATTGATCTCACAATGGAGAAATCATTCTCTGCATTTAACCCATACTGTTGGGGAGCAGTGGGCTGCCATCGTGGGGTTAAGGGTCTTTGCTCAGGAACCCAGAGTGGAGGCTGTGGGGATCAAACCAAGTATTTGCAACCTTCTCAGAGCACAAGCGTACAGCTATAACCACAAGGTCAACACACCCCACCTACTTATTTTTTTAATGAAGAATGTTAGAATAAACTCAGTTTGTTTATATAGCGTCAATTCACCACATCTCTACTCAAAACACTTTACAGAGACAATTCAACTAGATCATACAGTCAGATTGGTTCAAAGTTTTCTATCTAAGGAAAACCAGCTGACTGCATCGGTTAATGACTTGACAGCAATCCCTCACTCCGAGCATGCTCGGAGCAACAGTGGAGAAGAAAACTTCCTTTAAACAGGAAGAGACCTCCAACATAACCAGGTTCAGTGTGAGCGGCCATCTGCTGAGGCTGACAAAAAGAGAACAATAGTCAACAATAGTAGGTATGAAAATAAATGAAACATTTATAATCAAACAATGAGTTACATAAACTTTAAATAGAGGCAGAGTGTTCCTATCAGCATCCCTATATTAAAGATTTTAGATGCAGGCCAGTTTTACTGTTGATATTGGACCAATGTCACTGTTAGATCAGTACATCACCAATATTTACTCTAGTACGACCAAATTGCCAGAGGCATGATGTAGAACATGACGCCAATGTAATGATGTAAGCAGATGGACCAAAACGATGTTTGAGTCTGCTGATGGTGCCTGGTGCAAAAATTCTTTTCCGGCTCAAAAAATGACAAAGTAAACCCAATCAGGACCAACGCTGAGCATGTGTTGTGTTATTGGAAGACAATTATATTTTTTGTGTGTTTTTTAATCATCATAGTACGTGAGGGTACCTTTCTGAAATATAAAAAAGTTGGAAAATGCATACATATGAATGCTTAACAGATGTACACTACCGTTCAAAAGTTTGGGGTCACATTGAAATGTCCTTATTTTTTTAAGGAAAAGCACTGTACTTTTCAATGAAGATAACTTTAAACTAGTCTGAACTTTAAAGAAATAAACTCTATACATTGCTAATGTGGTAAATGACTATTCTAGCTGCAAATGTCTGTTTTTTGGTGCAATATCTACACAGGTGTAGAGAGGCCAATTTCCAGCAACTATCACTCCAGTGTTCTAATGGTACAATGTGTTTGCTCATTGGCTCAGAAGGCTAATTGATGATTAGAAAACCCTTGTGCAATCATGGTTACACATCTGAAAACAGTTTAGCTTGTTACAGAAGCTACAAAACTGACCTTCTTTTGAGCAGATTGAGTTTCTGGAAATCACATTTGTGGGGTCAATTAAACACTCAAAATGGCCAGAAAAAGAGAACTTTCATCTGAAACTCGACAGTCTATTCTTATTCTTAGAAATGAAGGCTATTCCATGCGAGAAATTGCTAAGAAATTGAAGATTTCCTACAACGGTGTGTACTACTCCATTCAGAGAACAGCACAAACAGGCTCTAACCAGAGTAGAAAAAGAAGTGGGAGGCCGCGTTGCACAACTGAGCAAGAAGATGAGTACATTAGAGTCTGTAGTTTGAGAAACAGACGCCTCACAGGTCCCCAACTGGCATCTTCATTAAATAGTACCCACAGTAGCCTGTTTGTGTTGTCCTCTGAAGGGAGTAGCATTAGCTTTTAGTTCTAGTTTCTCTTCTCAAATTTGAAAACAGTCAAATAATTTCTGTATAATTCAAAAAAAATATTTCTCAT